GGGTGCAGCCGCCGGTGGAGCCGCAGCCGCCCGTGCTGGCGGGAGGCCCGGCCGCACTCGGCGCACCGGAAAGGCCGCTCTGCGCTGTGACCGTGGGTGTGGTCTGGAAGCCCGCACTGCGGGGAGGAGCGCTGGCCGCACGGGCCGCAGGAGGCCGGCCTCTCCGCGCCGGGGCCGGGCTCAAGAGCCTCCGGGCATTCCTCGCCAGCCGGGCTCAGGCCCGGCTTCTCTCCCAAGCGCGGGAGCTCAGCCTGCTCGGAGGCGGCCCCGGCACCCTCTCTCTGGGAGCCTGGCCTCGCCGCACCGGGAGGGCCCCGGGGGCCTCTGCCGTCGCAGCCGGGGCACTGGGAAGGCCTCTGCCCCGCGCGCAGGTGGTGGGCGTACACTTCACACTCGCTGCCCAGCAGCTGGCTCTCCTCGGGGTGGATTGCCAGGGGTCTAAGCAAACACGACTTCCGGCGGAAGCCCCGCCCACATTCTGGACAGCGGAAGTGCCTCTGGCCCTGAGGGATGGTCAGCGGCTGTTGTGCCTCGGTTTGTTTGCGGAATTGATTCCAGGCCCTGTGTGACGGGTCCTTCTGGCTCCCCTGGTGCTGCTCTGAGAGCTTCTTCCAAAAGCCTTCCCCACAGACGGGGCAAGGGTGCTGGAGGCCCTCCCCAGAGGTTTCCTGGAAGCCTGGGGGACCGAGGGTCCTGGGACTTACGATTGTGTCTCTTTGGGTGGGTTCCCTGGAGCTGTGGACTACTGGAACTAGAGCCCGAGTATCATGTCTTTGTGGCTTCAGGAGGGCGACGACTTGGTCAGGCCTGAAGGAAACATTTTCACTTTTTCCTAATAAGGGTTCTGAGGAACGCTGGCTCTGAAGAGGATCTACTTGGAAATGGCAGTGGGCTTCTCCTGGTTTCACAGCTTGCTGGCTTCCTGAAATTGAAAAGAAAACTTCAGTCAGTATCCCAGCCTGTGACATGACCAAGGCTTCTGTGGCCGTAGCAGTGACCTGAGGTGGCCTGGAAGCCCAGCTTCCCCTGAACTAAACCGGCAGCTCCTTTCAGTGGGGTCAGTTTCATGACCAGGAGTTTGGTGAGTCTGCTGAAACTAAACTGAACAGACCTATCTTAGAATAATATTGAAAAGAGAACATGTAAGTCACAAATGTAGGGCCTAAGCTTTGGAATCAGACTGGGTTCGAATCCCATTTGTCCACTGTGCAAGCTTTGTCAAACTCATCTCTGGCTTCAGTTCCTTCTGTAGAAATGCAAACAGTATATAAGATTGTTGTGAGAACTGTATGAGTTAACGTGGGTAAAGGGCTTAGCGTGGGCCTGGCACACTGCATGTTCCCTGTAAATGTTCACCATAATTGACCTCAGGGAAACCAGACTTGTCCCATTTGGATGCGCAGACATTCCTGGAGTCAAAAAATAATGACAGGAACTTCCCTGGTGGTCCAGTGGTTAAGACTTCACCTTCCAGTGCAAGGGGTGCAGGTTCAATCCCTGGTCAGGGAGCTAAGATCTCACATGCCTCCTCGCCAAAAAACCAAAACATAAAACAGAAGCAGTATCGTAAAAAATTCAATAAAGACTTTAAAAAAGATAAAATAATGACGGCAGTGTTACTGACAGGCCCTGGCTAACACTATGATTCCATATACTCCAGGAGCTGTCCTAAGACCAGATGTTCCTCCCTCCTCGTCTCTATTCCTACCAACCTTGTAAAAAGGTTTCTTGGAAGAATTGCTAACAGACAGTAAAAAGTGAAATAATTTGTGAAGAAAAACTCTTTTACCCTCCTGAAAGCAGCAGCTAAAAATTAAATAAACTACTGACATTTCTTGGAATGATGCTCCCATTTGACTTTCTCTTTCCATACTTTAATACTGACCCTTAAGAATCCAAAAATCTCAGACTCTCCCATCATGACAAGAAACAAAAGAGGAGTCTCTATGCCTCCCCTCCACTACTAAGAATACCTCATATTTGCTGAACTCTTACTGTATTGCCAGGTATCATTGTAACAGTTTACATACATTAACCCATTTAATCCTGTGATGTAGATACTTTTATTATCTTCACTTTATAGGTAAAGAAACTGAAATACTGTGGGGTTGAATAACTTGCCCAAGGTCACCTGGAGAAGGCAAGATCCAGACTCAGGACCCAGAACCCACAATCCTAACAGCTATGCTTTACTGCCTTTCTCTAGAATATACCAGGTGTTAAGCCTCAGTCCAGTCAAACAGGAAGTCAAGGTCAGAGAATTGGAACTAAGAAACCTGAATGGGATGTCTTAAGGACAGGGCCCTGATTTCTTAATACTCACCCCCAAGCAGTTGTCCCTCAATAACTGGATCCAAATGCAAATCAGCAGAGGTACAAATTATGTTTCCTGATTTCTGTGATTCTCCCCAGTTCCTGAAGAGTTCTCTCCCCTGTTCAAGCCAGGATATTAGTTCTGGTTTGGGAAGTCCATCATCTGTACAGAGAAGTCAAACAGGGTAGTTCGGTTTCCTTGAGCACTAAATTTAAAGCACAATGAGCTGTTTTTAAATTCTCAAATTTACTCCTGGGAAAATGTATGAGAAGAGATTTTTAAAAATAGATTATAGGTTTACACAAAGAAAAGCAGAACTGCCCACACATTATAACAGTGGGTTCCTAATCTACCTGGACCTGTTAGATGACTCTGTGTTTGATTTTGTCTTGGTCCCAATATATCTAGCAATGCTGCATTTTGTCACAGGTTTCTTAAAACTCACCAGTATTGTGCTTTGAGAATCGTGGGACAACCCCTGAGACAACTGGAGATCTTGGGAATAGGGGGCATAAGAAAACAAGAACTGGAGCTTCAGCTAAAATATTCTGAGAAGTACTTCCAGTGACAGTGCTAATCACAACCTAAAATACAATTGAGTTCTGCTAGAATAGAAGGGGGTTGCAATGAATGAAATGAACGAATTAAAATATTACAAGATACCCATTTCCCTGTAAAAACTGTTTATGCTGTGTATTTTCAAGTAAAACTTTCTTTCAGTAATATATATATTTAAAAGAACCAAAAGTATGCTTCATGGATTGCTAAAAGGAGATTAGTAGATGGTCCAAATCAGAGAAAGAGGATAAGCTGGGCAATGCTGAGGGATTTTAGGGATAAAATGTCAGAGTGACATATACATTAGCCCTCTGAAATCTGACTTCAACCCCAAAAGAATTCCAAGGCTGCTCTCATGAAAAAAGGAATCACTATCTTTTATTTAAATCCATACACCTAAAACAAATATCATGTAATATCGCTTATATGTGGAATCTAGAAAAAAGGTACAGATGAACTTACTTGCAAAGCAGAAATAGAGACACAGATGTAGAGAACAAACATGTGGATACCAAGGGGGGAAGGGGAGGTGAGATGAACTGGGAGATTGGGATTGACATATATACACTACTATATACAAAATAGATAACTAATGAGAACCTACTGTATAACACAGGGAACTCTACTCAGTGCTCTGTGGTGACCTAAATGGGAAGGAAATCTAAAAAAGAGGGGATATATGTATACGTATAACTGATTCACTTTGCTGTACAGCAGAAACTAACACAACATTGCAAAGCAACTATACTCCAATAAAAATTAATTAAAAAAATAAATCCATACACCTATTCTCAGTCTTCATCTGGGTTGAACTCTCAGCATCTTTTAAAATAAAACCATTTTTCAAAACAAAAATTAAAGCAAGTCCATTTACAAGAACATCAAAAAGAGTAAAATACTTAGGAAAAAATCTAATAAAACAAACATAAGACTTACACAATACAAATCATAAAATGTTGTTCAAAGTAATTTTAAAAGTCCTAAAAAAAAGTACTAAATAAATGAAATGATATCCCATGTTCATGAATTGGAAGACTTAGTACTGTTAAGATGACCATATTCCCCAAACCCCATCTGCCTTTTTTTTTTTTTTTGGCAGAAATTGACAAACTGATCCTAAAGCAATGGTAATTAAAACAGTGTGGTACTGGCATAAGACTAGACATATAGATCCATGAAACAGACTTGAGAATCCAGAAATAAACTCTGACATTTACTGTTAATTGGTTTTCCAAAAGGGTGCCAAGATAATTCAATGGGGGAAAGAATAGTCTTTTCAAAAAATGGTGCAGCAACAACTGGATATCCATAAGCAAAAGAGGCTGGATCCCTATATCACACAGTGTGAAAAAATTAACTCAAAGTGGATCAAAGAAGGAAAAAAAAGGATCAAAGACCTAAATATACACACTAAAACTATAAAACTCTTAGAAGAAAACATAGGAGTGGATCTTTGTGACACTGAATTAGGCAATGGCTTCTTAGATATGACACCAAAAACTCAAGCAACAAAAGAAAAAATAAACGGGAATTCATAAAAATTTAAAACTTTTGTGCTTCAAAGGACTCCATCAAAAAGGGAACAGGGGCAGGGGGGCTTCCCTGGTGGCGCAGTGGTTGAGAGTCCGCTTGCTGATGCAGGGGACGCGGGTTCGTGCCCCGGTCCGGGAAGATCCCACGTGCCGCGGGGTGGCTGGGCCCGTGAGCCATGGCCACTGAGCCTCCGCGTCCGGAGCCTGTGCTCCGCAACGGGAGAGGCCACAGCAGTGAGAGGCCCGTGTACCACACACACAAAAAAGGGAACAGGTAACCCAAGAAACAGAGAAAATATCTGCAAATCATATATCTGATAAGGGTTCAGTATTCAGAATAGAGAACACTTATAACCCAACAATAAAAAGACGAATAGCCCACTATAAAAATGGGCAAAGTATTTGAATAGACATTTCTTCAAAGAAGATACACAAATGAAAAGATGTTCAACATGATCAACCATTAAGGAAATGCAAACCAAACCCACATTGATACACCACTTCACATCCATTTGATCTTTTGTTGTTTCTTCATTGCTGCGCGTGGGCTTTCTCTAGTTGTGTCGAGCAGGGGCTACTCTTCACTGTGGTGTGTGGGCTTCTCATTGCAGTGGCTTCTCTTGTTGTGGAGCACGGGCTCTAGGAGCATGGGCTTCAGTAGTTGTGGCACGTGGACTCAGTAGTTGTGGCTCGTGGGCTCTACAGCGCAGGCTCAGTAGTTGTGAAGCACGGGCTTAGTTGCTCCACGACATATGGGATCTTCCGGGACCAGGGATCAAACCCATGGGCCCTGCACTGGCAGGCGGAATCTTAACCACTGCACCACCACAGAAGTCCACATCCATTTGATCTTGATGCTCGGAACATTCTTTTTGGGTGGCACAGGGTTCATGTCACAAGATTATTTTTCTTTTCTCTATAGATTCCATTATTTTAATTGGTTCTTCGCTAACGATGAAAATAATGTAATATCTTGTATTAATGTTTCAGAAACACTGTACAGAAACTGGAAATCTTAATTATGTCAGACGCTGGCAAGAGAAGTGGAGGGAATATAGGAGAACTAATTACCTTCGTAGACTGAAAGAATAAAGAGATATAAAGTTCATGAAACATGATCTAGAAGTTTATTATTTAAATTATAAAGGTGGCCAACAGAGGCATTAAAAAACTGTCAGGGGCTTCCCTGGCAGTCCAGTGGTTAAGACTCCACACTGCCAATGCAGGGGGCATGGGTTTGATCCCTGGTTGGGGAACTGGGATCTCACAAGCCACGCAGTGTGGCCAAAAGATAAAACAACAACAACAAATATATGTGGGTGTGTATGTGTGTGTGTGTGTGTGTGTGTGTGTATGGCACAAATTGGAAAGAAATATTAGTAACATAGATAATAAATTTTTTTTTAAAGTTAAAAAAACTCAAAATTTCGGAAGAAGGGGGAAAAAGGAGATAGAAGAGGGATAGTATAAGTGAGTGAAACCCTCATTTTTCACAGTAAGGAGTTAAACTCAATAACCAAGAAATACAGGTGTAAGCACAATAGACTGAAGTAAAGTGCAGTAAAAACTAAAACAGAAATGATTAACATGGTTGCCTTTGGGGAATTAACTGAGTGAGGGGTGAGGCAAGAGACTTTTATCATTCATTTTGATGCTTCTCCAAACAGACTGATTTTTTAAAAATCATATTTAATAGTAAAATACAAAGACTAAGTAAGCAAAAAGACTAAAAAGAACACCATTACTGTAACCATGCAGAAACAACTGTGGGTAAACACCTGTGTATAGCCTTCCAAAATCTCACTGCAGGGAAAAATAACATTAGCTTTTTTGAGGTATATGGACACCACTGTAAAAGTTGACAGGTAGGAACACCCTAGGTTAAAGATATACAGGGTACTTTACGGATATGGGCAAGGTATGTATCCATGTTGAAAAACCATGGCAACCTGTAAGTATATAGTGATTAAAAGCCCCGACATATATTTAGTCATCTCTGACCACCTTACATTACATGCTGTCACAAATATTCTCATGTAGCAACGTCTACCCTTGAGTAAGGATTAGCAATGCTTATAGATATTAACAAAAGACTCTGCATAAAAATGCCTTTCTGAGTTAATTTCTGAGAAATCTGGCTACCTGACCAACAGGAGTATGGAGTGACTGAAACCCCTAACAGGACCCAGTTCCATGCCTCAACCACAGTTAAACACTTCTTACCTAGAGAAACAAGAATCTCATAATTGGTTCTCATTACTTGCTTGTAAAGCTCCTTCTGCCATGGCTCTAGATCCCGCCATTCTTGCTCGGAGAAATAAACGGCCACATCCTCAAAAGTCAGAGGTAACTGAAATTATAGGCATAATACATATACAGTCATAATGGCTTCAAAACTCCAGTTCCTTTTCATCAATTTAAGAGTTTCGCAGTGGACAGTGTTTTTGTCCGTTAGGCAGCTTCTTCCTTGGGAACTGCTCCTTCCCTGACTCCCATCATGTGGTTCTGTTGGTGACCATGACCAGTCCCTTCCACTTGTTTCTCTATGCCTATTCCAACTACATATGCATATGTATAGCATGGAACTCTTTCATTTTTCTTCTTCTTTTTTTAAACAAAAATGGGAACAAATCACTGTGTAACTTCTTTCACTTAACATGTCATTTCCAGGTCAATTTACATAGGCAAAATCGGTTTTTTGTTAATTGCATTATATTCCATGGGTACACATACTCCACTGATGACACATATATTGTTTCCATTTCCTTTATAAATTACCAACAATGCTCTGATATTCTTCCTTATATAGTAGTGGTTTTACTTCTGCAGGAAAAGGCTAAATAAAAAGGAGAACTACTAAATCAAAGGATAGAAACATCTTCAGTTTACAAGATACCACTAGATTGCCTTCCAAAAAGAATCCAGCACTTTTACCCTTGCTAATAAGACATTTCTTTACACCTTTGCCAGCACAGGATGTTCTGAAACCTCATTTGTTTGTTTTTTATTGGCCAACATGATAGGTAAAATATTATATTTCATTGTTTTATTTATTTATTTATTTATAGGCTTCTCTGTGAGCCATGCGGGATCTTAGTTCCCCCACCAGGGATTGAACCTGTGCCCCCTGCATTTGGAACGCGGAGTCTTAACCACTGGACCACCAGGGAAGTCCCCTGTGCTTCATTATTTTAATTTGCATTCATTTGTGAGGCTTAGCAACATTTTCATATTTGGCGGGGAGGGGGGAGTTCCACTTATCTTTGTGCATGCCTGTTCACATCCTTTGCTCAACGTTTTAGTGGGCTCCTATAATTTGAATTAACTTTCTTACATTAGGGTTAATAATCCTTTGACTAGTTAACAAACATTTTCTTCTAGTTTATCATTTGTATTTTGACTTTCTCTTCTGCCAAAGAGAACATTTTGACCCTTTTATTTAGTTAAAACCTGAGTCTTTTCCGTATTGTTTCCAGCTTTTACTTTCATTTTTTGTATGTCACAATCAAAAAATTATACAGATATTCTACTGAATTTTTTTCACAATTAGGTTTGCAGCTTAATTCTACAGATGATATTGGTAACTTTATTTATGTACATATGGACAGCCAATCACAGAACACTAATAAACGCACCACTCTTTCTCCTTAGATTGAAATCCTGAACTTCACCTTTGCATATATTAGATTTTCACATGTATGTGAATCTATATATTGTTATACTATCTATACATAGCTGATTACAGTACCTATGCAATGTTATAAGTGCCCCCCCCACACCCATTCTTTGTCAAGCTACTGCTGTTAATTTCTGGAACATTCATTCTTCCTTACAAATTCTAAAATAATTTTGTCCAGTTTTAAAAAAAAGTACATTGGGATTCAATTTTAATTAAATTTATATGTGTATTTAGGAAAGATTGAGCTCACCTAGGAACATGTTCTACCACTCATTTGATCTTGCTTCCTATCCTTTAATAAACTTAATGATTTTCTTCATAAATGTTCTGAATCTTTTTTTTTTTTTCCTACGGTACGCAGGCCTCTCACTGCTGTGGCCTCTCCCGTTGCGGAGCACAGGCTCTGGACGCGCAGGCTCAGCGGCCATGGCTCACGGGCCCAGCCGCTCCGCGGCATGTGGGATCTTCCCGGACAGGGGCACGAACCCGTGTTCCCTGCATCGGCAGGCGGACCCTCAACCACTGCGCCACCAGGGAAGCCCCCTGAATCTTTTTTATGAACTTTGTTTCTGGTATTGTGTAGTTTTCCCAACAATTATAAATGGGACCACCTCTGCCACTTCAAATCATTACTACTAGTATTTTTTAAAAATTGATTTTTGTAAACTTATTTTATATCCAATTAATGTACCATATTTGTTTATCAATTCTAATAGTATTAAGTTTTTGGTGGAAACATTTATGGTTCTCAGATAATTTCCCCATCTCTTTTCAAAGTACGTACACTGCTTTTATCTCAGTGTTGTACTTACTAGAACCTCTTTTGTGGCTTCAGGGTTTAGTACCTTGATTTGGAAGACTTTCCCTATTCTAAAATTATAAAAGATATTCTGGTATATTATAACAATAAGGCACATAATTCTTTTTCCAAAGAGATATTAAATTGTCACAAAACTTATTGACTATTCTTTTACCATTGTGTTGGGATCGCTTTTTCATAAACTAGTTTTCCATTTATACTTGGTTATATTTTTGTTCCACTGGTGATTTTGTCTATTCTTGCTCTAATACTGGACTGTTTAATTCTTATAGTTTTATCAAATGATTTGCTATTTAAGAGGATATGGCCAGCTACCACCACCTTGATCATTTTTTTAAAGGAAACTGTCTTGACCTTCCTCGTCTACTTTCTCTTCTAAATAAACAGGAGAAATATTTTGTCAAATTTATATAAATTCTATTGGGATTCTTATAGGAATATACTAAGTATATGAATTAATTTTGAGAGAAGTGGGTCTCTAAATTATGGGATCTTCCCATCCAGAAACATCTTTTATTTATCTAGATTTTTAAATTTTTAGTAAAATTTGTTTTCTTCATACAGATCTTATATAATTCTTGACAGATTCATTCCTAGGGATTTTAGACTTCTGGTTGCTACTATGAGAACTGAACTGAATAGGAATATACAAAGCACACACATGCATACCCTTCAAGCACCAGCTGCCTCAGACTACCCTGTGGTGAGCCCTACCTATTCACACCCGGTGTTACAACTTTCCATCTAATTTCAGATAATGTTCCTTCCACCACTTCACAATAACTCAAAAGCTCCATCCCTTCTTACACCCACTTCCACAGGCAAATTTCAGATTGTTTTTAAGGTAATTATTTCTTAATCATTTAACATGCATAAAACAGAGCTGTTTTTATTGTTTCTATCTTTTCTTTTCAACTTGTCACTGACAAACTTTTTGAGTGTTGTGTACCTAACCCCATTTCTCCCATAAGCGCTGTGGTTTTTACTGCATGATTTTGCATTGCACTGTGATTTTTAGAAATGCATATGATGTATGATGGCAGAATTCATTACTTTTAAAATGTTTTCCAAAAATGCTCAAAAAGCCTTCACTGTTTATTTCTTTAATCTTCAGAAGTGTGAAAGATCCAGAAAATTAGAGAGTACATTATAACAAGCATCTGAGTATTTACCACTGATTTAACAAATTTAACAATTTGTTAATTTAACAGATTTCCTTCTCAAGAAATAGAATTTGACCAATAAAACTCAAAGCCCCCCTCGGTCCCCACTTCAATCTTATTCTTTTTTTTTTTTTTTTTTTTTTTTTTCCTTGCGTTATGCGGGCCTCTCACTGTTGTGGCCTCTCCCATTTGCGGAGCACAGGCTCCGGACGCGCAGGCTCAGTGGCCATGGCTCACGGGCCCAGCCGCTCCGCGGCATGGGGGATCTTCCCGAAACGGGGCACGAACCCGCGTCTCCTGCATCGGCAGGCGGACTCTCAAGCACTGCGCCACCAGGGAAGCCCCAATCTTATTCTTACATTCAGTTCTATCCACTTCCCTTCTGAGACACAACCATGTTGATGCACGTGGTAAGTTTTCAGATCGTGTTTTTAATTTTTTTAATACCCATATGTATCTATAGATAATATATAGTATTGCTTTGTCTTTTATACACAAATGCTTTATTATACTGCAACTTGCATTTTTCATGCAACATTTTGAGATCTGTCCATCTTGATATACATAGAACTGATTTAATTTTGTATAGTATTCCATTGTCTGAATGTCACAATTTTTAATTCATTCTTTTATCCATTGACCATTTGCTTTTAGTTCTATGAACTGCCTGTTCATATCCTTTGCCTGTATTTTTACTGGATTATTTGTCCTTTCATTTCTAAGATTTCTTTATATAATTTGTGTATTAACTGTTGACTACATTAGTTTACAAATACTTTCTCCTAGTGTATCTCTTACCTTTTATTTTTACTTAAGCTGTCTTATATTTATATTATACATAAATTTTCAATTGTAATGCAATATATCAATCTTTTCTTAGTTCATTTTGCCCTTTGTGGTTTAAGAAATTTTCTTCTACACTAAGATTATGAAGATATCCTACATTTCCTTCCAAAAGACTGAAGTTTTACTTTTCATGTTTAGATTTTTAATTTATCTGGAACGTAATTTTTTTATGGTGTACAGCAATGATCTACCTTAGTGTTTTTTTCCAAATGGAAAAGTCAGTTGTCCCAACACCACTTCTGAAGTTCTCTGAATTAGATTCCTAGGGCTGCTGTCACAAAGTGCCACAAACTTGGCGGCTTAAAACAATAAATATTTATTCTCTTAGTTCTCATAGTTAGAAATCTGAAATCAAAGTGTCAGCAGAGCTATGCTCTCTCTGAAGCCTTTAGGAGAGAATCTGTTCCATGCCTTTCCCTTTGCTTCTGGTGGTGGTTGTTGATACTTGGCATTTCTCAGCTTGCAGCTGTATAGTTCCATCTCTGCCTCCACTGTCACAGGGCCTTCTCTCTTTGTGTGTCTGGGTCTCTGTGACTCTGCTCCTCCACTCATGATGGATTAAGAACCTGTCCTACTCCAGTATGATCTCATCTTAACGAATTTCATCTGCAGCAACCCTACTCCTATTTTGGTCACAATCTGAGGTTCTGGGAAGGACATGTATTGGGGGAGACACTATTCAACTCAGTAGTCTGCTCGGGGTCCTCTTTGGGTTTCTCCTGCTCCATGTGTCTACCCCTGCACAAAACAGTACTGTATTAATTCTATGGATTTACTGTAAATTTTATTATCTGCTAGGGCAAGTCCCCCTGTTATTCTTTTCAGCATCATATTTT